ACCCAACATCCATGGGTCCATGTGTGTTTATATGGAACCGGGGTGTGAAATGGCTTAGATAGTTAGCGGTGCTCTACAAACCCAACATCCATGGGTCCGTGTGTGTTTATATGGAACCGGGTTGTGAAATGGCTTAGCTAGTTAGCGGTGCTCTACAACCCAACATCCATGGGGTCCATGTGTGTTTATATGGAACCGGGTTGTGAAATGGCTTAGCTAGTTAGCGGTGCTCTACAACCCAACATCCATGGGTCCATGTGTGTTTATATGGAACCGGGTGTGAAATGGCCTTAGCTAGTTAGCGGTGCTTCTACAACCCAACATCCATGGGTCCATGTGTGTTTATATGGAACCGGGTGTGAAATGGCTTAGCTAGTTAGCGGTGCTCTACAACCCAACATCCATGTGTACGTGTGTATTTATATGGAACCGGGTGGGAAATAAATTCATTAGGCCCTAAACTATGGATTTCACATGACTAGACAGGGGCACAGCTATGGGGTGGGCCCTGGGAGGGCATAGGCCCCACCACTTGGGAGCCAGGCCCACCCACCGGGGAGCCAGGCCCAGCCAATCAGAATGAGTTTTTCCCCCACAAAAGGGCTTTATTACAGACAGAAATACTCTCTCTCTCTCTCTCTCTCTCTCTACCCTGCTCTGCTCACTGCTGACTAAATAAGGCAAAGAGAGAGAGAGAGTGTGTAAATACCAACTGGTGTCACAACAATCCATCCGCTGGGAGTTCTCCCTCTGGTCTTCACTTCCTCTTTCCTCTGTAGATAACATCTCATTGAGAGATATATAACGCAGGAAATGAACTCAAAAACAAACCCAACAAGTGATACCCTGCTAAGCGTGACACACACGTTGTGTGGACAGAGTGGGGCGGGACGTACAGGCCAGACGAGCATGCTGATTGGCTAAGGGGAGGGAGACGATTAACGGCTCACGCACCACTCTGATTGGACAGGAATAAGGAAAGAGGGGAAAGTGTTGTATAGAGGCCTCTAGTGGCCAGAAGCCCGTTTCAGCATGGGGCACTGCCATTGAGGAAGTAGTCAGCTGGACGGGACTTCTTATGGATTGAGGGAAGGATCACATAATTACATTCAGTCACCAGAAGGGATCAGCTAATGAATTATACTTGTGAGTAAACAGGTGGCAGTAAACCGCTAACCTTGGCGTTATACCGGCAGGGCACTTAACCCTTAACCATAATTGCTCCTGTGAGTGGCTCTGGATGAGGGCGTCTGCTAAATGACTCAAATGGAAAACATTTAAACAACACCCTCCAGGGGCAGTGTACCGTTCATTTTTACCCCAAAATGCAGAAAA